TATTTTAATTGTGTACAGCGTTTTTATCAACAGGGAAGCGTCCTAAAAATAGAAGGAAATACTTTTGGTGTACTATTTTTATATTTTGACTTACACCCAATTTGCATAGCAATATTAGTAGTGGAATCGTGGAAGCTACATAATTAATTTGTTAACAGAACAAGAATGCTTAACGCAAATCAGAATATAAATACTTTTTTTTTTACAATTAAAGCAGTGTATTAGCACACCTATTTCAGAAACTATAGCAGCCCAAATCTAGTATGTTAGTTAATCAGTGCACAAATGAATCAGTTTAATTTGCTGCAACTAAGTAAAGTTGTTTCTGGGCCACCCCGAGTCGCCACAGTTTCTAGAAGGGAATTGAGAAGAGGCACATTAGGAGAAATCCAGAACCATCAGGCTCAGCCCTCAAAAACCTTTCAAGCTGAATGTTTGATAACCTAAAATCTTTGATAACCCATAGTTTTCTACTATTCCTAGTAAGGTAGCCTAGTAAGGTAGCCTAGTAAAATGTTAGTCTGCTGCAGAAAAACCAACAAAGAGTACTGTGTCAGTCTGGAGACTAATACATTCATTATGGCAGACGCCTTTGACAGACTACTGTTCACTTCATCAGATGCATGAAAGCTTGTGCCTTAATAAATGCATTAGCCTTTAATGCACCACAAGGCTCTTCGTTGTTGTTTTTACTAATTAACTAGTTAACCTAATGAAAGGAGATGATCAAGGACAGAACTAAAATGGATTCAAGGGCAACAGTCCCTAAAGATGAAGCAGAGAAGAAATTTGAACTGGATGTCCTATTCTAAAACACATCCGGTCTACTCTGATTATAATTTAGTTGAATAATGTATTTTTGATAATGTAGAGAGAGTAGAGAGGTTACAGTGAGGAGTTATATGAAATGAAGCAGCAGGCTGAGCACAATGTTTGATTCCTGTTTGAATCCAAGGCTGCAGCTATGGGAGAAGCAAGACCCTCTTGGGGTATTAATACTGTGAACGCCTCCATTATAAGCTCAGGTTGTGTGTCTGTGTGTGTACACACACACACACACCATATATCATAAAGACACCACAATCTCTGTTGTGCCTCATTTCCAAAAGGAAACACAAACCCTAGGTAAAACTACTGGAACTCATGGAATCTCACACCACTCTGAGATTGGGGTGGCATGCAACATTATGTTCACACACATATGGTGATCTTCCTCCTCTCACAAGACTGGGCTTATTTTAGCTGGCTATGACATCATCATCATCACCATCAGCATCATCATGCTGATCAACTGCTCTCCCAATTCAAAAGGAAAGTTTTATCATGTTAGAAATGCAAAATTCAAGTATTCTTCCATTTCCCTTGCATATCCAAATGCTTACCATGAATATCTCTCTAATGAGAGATATTAGTTGCATTGTTAGTTGCATTGATTTCCTTCTTGTCACCCATCCATTATTAAGATTTGCCTCTGTATTTAACTATTCTATCAGTGTCTGAAGTTTGTTAAACGTTGCTGCATTAGTCTGCTCAGCCTTGGAAAAACATTCTATGCCGAATAAGCATTAAAAACATAAATACTGTGTTCTACTCTTGTTTTTTTATTTCCCATCAGTACTGCTGATTCTCCAACTACCAGGTCAGCTCATAATGATTTCAGATAAGCAAGCACCATCATAGTAATTTATTGCTTAACTGTAGGTCATAACAACAGTAAATAGAAGAGGATAAATAATTAAAGTCAACAAGCACAGATGCATAACAGTAAATAGGCATTGCACTGCATAAAATCTGGGCAAGGGATAAATTTTAGCCTCACAAAAAAAGTTAATCCACAGTAACATAATACATTTGCATAGGCCACCTCCACCATAATGTTTAATTAAATCAGACTTGTCTTCCCCATTTAGGTATATCAGTGTCTAGACCCGAATTCCCTGCCGGCTTTTTCCCTTTTTGAAGTGTGGCTAATTCAGTTCAGTAACTGTGTTCAAGACTCAGCTTACAAAGTCCTTACATTCTGAGTGTAATCAATCGAGTGTCTTTGATGATGCCAGGATAGCCAAAGCTTGTCTAATTAATTAACTGAGAGTGATTAATGACTCAGGCATTTATCAATCAGTATTTTTTACACATTCTCAATATTATGCATATAATATGAACCCAAGCAAAACTATCTCAGCACAGAGAAGTTCCTCCTGCATTCCATGTAGCAGCCAGGAGAATGCTCCAGGCAAAATTTCTCCATCCTTATTTCTTCATTGCAAATGATTCAACATATAACCATGTCATTAAACTAAGTTTAAAATGTATAAGATAATCCTTTTAACAAATGTAAAATGAGATGCAGTCTTTTGCAAATCTATGCATTTAGCAAAGTATGGGAGAGGAAGGATTTTTAAGGCATATATTTAGGACAAACATACCATGCATACTACAGTTCAAGAATAATCCTTTTTTTAAAGTGATAATTCAAGTGCTTCTAGCTGAGCAAACATGGAAAGACACCTGGCCCTCACAGCCAGACTCATTGAGGTATCTATTATTTGCTAGGAGACTTCCAAATCATAAAGAAATTTGGAATACAGAAAAGCAAGTATCCAAACAACTGATTCTGAATGTTCAGTAGGGCTTTAAATTTTAATTTCTCCAACAGTAGCTACCCATGTTAGGTGGCAAATTATGTTTGAATCTAAGGAGACTTTCCAGAGCAGTTTATAACATGGTAAGGGAGTCTTCCAATGAGAACATAAGAGCTATGCTGGTCCATCTAGTCTAGCATTCTGTTCTTACATTGGCCAATCTGATGCCAATTGTAAAACCCCATGCAGAATCTGAGTGCAAAAGCACCCTTCCCAACTGTGACTCCCAGCAACTGATATACAGAGGCATACTGCCTCAGAGACAGTGGAGACTGTATATGTAAAAAAAAAATCCTGCTAGTTATGGTATTTAGATTCCAGCAATATTCAAGGTACGTACTCTCATCACTAGTCAAGTTTGAAAAACACATTTTTTAACAACAGTTGATATGCATACTGCAAAATTTTCCTCCAAAGCACACTACCAGAAAACAAGCCTGATTTGCACATGGCACAGAAAAACTTCAGGTACTGCTGAGTTCCAATTTTACTGACTTAAACCATAATCAGAATAAGCATGGGATAAGAATATGAGTAGCCCAGAATCAATCCACATTGCTGTCTATCATATGCAGTTGGGAACATATGCATATGTACAGTTGGAGAGATAACAGAGTTCCATCGTCCCTCAGAAACACATTTTTTTTGCTTACAGAATGCATGCTATGTTAACCACTGCCTTGTAAGAATTTACTTGTAAAGAAATCAGAGCTACCACACTTCATGCATTAGCAAACAGTTGTGCATATATCAATGCTTAAAGGCTGAAATGGGTCCTCTCTAAGGATATGCACATTATGATCGTTTGTATTCCAAGAAAATCAATTTCCACTAACATACCCCCAAGTATTATTATTATTATTATTTGATTATGGGAAAAGCAAACAGGCTTGAAACATCAAAATGAACAGAGTGGAGGGAGGATTACACTGAAAACATTTTCTAGAAATCAGGATGAAAAAAGTTTAAAATAATAAATAAAATACGTGCCAAGATAGTTTGCTAGTGTAGAATCTACCTCACTCCCATGAGTCTATGTGAAGATATCCTCATTTAATGGTTCTACACTAGGACCACCTGCAACAACTATTTTTATATAAAAACATATAAATTGTGTTATATAAACATATTGTAACTTCTACTAATAAAGATCTTCTTGCACCCCTCCTCTTTACAAGTGATATTTATAAAACAAAATCAATACAAAATATCAGTTCTCCCATTTAAGAGCAGCAGTCACCCTAGAACGGACTTACCAACTGACAAGGCATTTGAAAACTTACTGCTCCTCAGAGGATCTACCGCAGGTAGAGTGTATAGTTTGGCATCTGTATGTTTTCTCCAAGGAGTGGTTTGTGTGAATATGTAAGAAGTGGTTTGAATTTAATCCAGAATTTTTTTGCACAGGGAAAGAGGTCCTGATCCAATATCTTTTCAGTACCCAATCCCACAGGCACTCTCCGCCTGCTTTTGTTTTGTGTTTCCTCTGTACCTTCCCAAGGGCCAGCAGTCCCGACCCCCATTCCCCAATGGCATGCCCAGTTTGGGATGGAACTGACAATTTAGCCTGATGTCGAGAGACTTGCCTGATAGTGACAATGGGCATATCCCTAAAAGACAGGTGGGTGCGTTTGTTGCAAGTGTGTTGGGTGAATTGCTAGGAGGGGGGTGCATTTAGATGTCAAGGAAATAAACAACTCTCTGACTTTTAGAAGACATTTGAAGGCAGCCCTGTTTAGGGAAGTTTTTAATGTTTGATGTTTTATCTCTTTTTTACTATCAATATCCTGTTGCGAGCCACCCAAAGTGACTGGGGAAACCCAGCCAGATGGGCAGGGTATAAATAATAAATTATTATTATTATCATTAAATTAGTATAAATTATTATTATTATGCATTTAAGTGTTACTGAGACTGAGTACGCACTAAACACATGAGAAGCACAAATATTTCCTTCAAAGAATTCAGCCGTTGGGGCATAGTGAATCTGAGAGGGGTAAACTACAGTGCCCAGAATTCTTTGAGGGAAAGAATGGGCTTTCAAGGTGCCCAATGCCTGAGAGAAAGAATGTGAATTGGGGCGATGGGGTTGGGGAGTGTACTGTATAGAGAAAGTGTAATAACTATATTTGTGAATTTTTGTAAAAGAGGAGTTAAACAGGCTTGTGTGTGAAGAGCCTGAAAGCTCTTCGTGTGTGAAATTGCTGGAGCGCGGTGCGTGCGCCCACTCAACGGAGCGCTCCAAATGGGCGCGCGCGAGAGGGAACCACGGAGAGTCTCCCGCCACCGAGGCTGCGAGGCTTCTGGTTGGAGGAGCCGGCGTGAAGCGCGCGCACGAGCAGGCGCCGGCCGCCTTACCTGAGGTGCAGGTAGTGCACCAGCTTGGTCACCACAGTAACCATCTTGGCGAGGTCCACCTTCTCAGAGACTGAGTCCGAGACGAGCAGGAAAGGGCGGGAGGGCCGGGTGGTGGTGGTGGTGGTGGTGGTCTCCGGCTGCGCTTTCCTGAGGGAAGGATGTCTCCAGACTCGCCGGGGCCACTTCTTCCCTTGCCTTCTTTGTGCGCGCTGCTGCTCGTGTCCCTGGGGCGACTTTCCTCAGCTGAGGCTTCCGCCTGCTCGGCATGAGGGTGGGCGCCGTCTGTCGCTCTCGCTCCTGCCTATGCTGCTGCTGCTGCCTGCTGTTCACGGGAGGCGACGGACAGAGGGAGGAGCGGGCAGGCGCACAGCTATGTGGGCAACAGGCTGCCTCTTGGGCGAGCTGTGGCTTCTTTCCTCCTCCGCGTCCTCCTCTTGCTGCTGCTACCAAGGAGTCGCGTTCCCACCCCGCCGCTGCCACTACCGACCCCTCTCGCCGCCCCAGAGCTTAAGCGCGCGCCGAGCAGCGATAGGAAGAGATTGCGGGTCGCGCCAGCTGTCATCTAATCACCTCCCTGGAGTGATCTCAAGCAACCTATCGCAAAGCGCGCCACTGTTTCTGGCGGAGTGCGCCTGTCACCAGTGTGGCGGGCGGAAATTCAACAGGTGGTGCTTCCTGGCATAGGAGCCAACTCCTAGGGGTCGAAGTGCCGGATTTACGTATAAGCTAAACAAGCTATAGCTTAGGGCCCCACTCTCTTGGGGCCCCCCAAAAAATATAAAGGGGGGAAAAACTGGATGTACATTTCCAAAATATAAGATAAAAAAAAAAACACCTACATACAGCAACAGTGTTTTGTGTTGTGTAGACTCCTATGATGTAAGTAAATGGCCCTGCCTACTAGCCTGCTCCCTAAAATATCACTGGTTTGCTCATTTCTATATGTAAAGGTAAAGGTACCCCTGCCCGTACGGGCCAGTCTTGACAGACTCTAGGGTTGTGCGCCCATCTCACTCAAGAGGCCGGGGGCCAGCGCTGTCAGGAGACACTTCCAGGTCACGTGGCCAGCGTGACAAAGCTGCATCTGGCAAGCCAGTGCAGCACACGGAAACGCCGTTTACCTTCCCGCCAGAGTGGTCCCTATTTATCTACTTGCACCCGGGGGTGCTTTCGAACTGCTAGGTTGGCAGGCGCTGGGACCGAGTAACGGGAGCGCACCCCGCCGCAGGGATTCGAACCGCCGACCTTTCGATCGGCAAGCCCTAGGCGCTGAGGCTTTTACCCACAGCGCCACCCGCGTCCCTATTTCTATATATAGTGGTACACAAAAAACAGCAACAATTTGTTGTTGACAAAGGACAGCTGGACATATACAGTGGTACCACTGTTCGCATCCTGAACAGAACGTAAGACACGACTGTGCGCGTGTGCGAGTCACATTTCGCCGCTTCCGCGCATGCGCGTGATGTCATTTTGACTCTGCGCATGTGCGAGCGGAGAACCCGGAAGTAACGCGCTCCGTTACGGGTCGTCGTGGAGCGCTACTTATCCTGAAGCATATTTATCCCGAGGTATGACTGTTAAGGGCCCCGTTACCCTCAGTAGCTTAGGGCCTCATCAAACCTAAATCCCACCCTGGACACCCCGCCTCCCACCATGAAATATTTGAGGAGTCCGGAGCCCGTCAAAGTTAATGGGTGCTGCCATTCAAATAGTTTCCGTGTGCCATGTCATGTGATAGATTATGTGGGGCAGGTTGGCACCCCTGCTACCTGGTGTTTATTCCTTCTGCCCCAGTGTTGGTTTAAAGATATGGGTGTGCATCTGGTGCACCTTCCACATGTGCCTGCGAGGCACAGTCCTATGTGTTTAACAGTTGAAGTTCATGTGGCATACTTTCGCCTGACATAGACAGCATTCAGTTCATATAGTGCTATCTTGACCCAGTTTGCAGGCATCTGTGAGCCTTAAGTAGAAGCACATGGCATCGGTTGCTACCTGTGTCAATCACTTTTGACATAGCTCTTCTCCATTCTGTGGATTTTGAATGAAGTGGAAGCTCAACAGTGAAATTCAGCTCAGGGCTATATCATAAGGAAAGATTCTAGAATTCACAAAACGTTGAGCCTCCAAAAAAAGAAAGGCTCTACCTGTACTGTCACACTTCCTTATCCAGTGTTAAGGGTTTTATCCTCTGCCACACAATGGAAGGATATAGTGCAGAGAGACAAGTGTGCACATTGTCTAAAGCTGTGATTAACTAACAAAAAGAAAGGGAGGGAGGGAGGGAGAGAGAGAGAGAGAGAGAGAGAGAGATTAAAGTCTTAGTCATTACCTGACCAGATGGGTAATAATTATATAGGCGCTTAATCAGAAAAGTAAATGGTCTAATTAAATCACATTTAGAAATATATATTTAAAAAACAAAGATTAATCTTTAGACACTGATACCAGTTAATGAGGATTTAATGTTTATGGTTGTAATTTGGTGTACATTGGATTATACTGAGTAGCGAGTGTAATGTGTCATTAAAGATTTCCTAAACACCTAAACAGAAATTGCTCATTCAAAATGGGAATTTCTGAAAGCAGACATTGACTCATTGGTATATTTTCTAGATACATCCCAGAAAAAAGCTGGACTTGTGCCAGATGGGTGGGGGGTATGTATGTATGTATGTATGTATGTATGTATGTATTATTATTATTATTATTATTATTATTATTACTATTACATTTATGTCAGCACAAATAAGCTGATATTCAAAGTTTTGTGTTTTGGTATTTGATTGCAGTAATGCTCCACAACCATGGATTCTTTTCAGTCTGGTTTTCAACCCATGTTTAAGATTGAAATTGCCTCAGTTGCCCTAGTGCAGGGTTGCGGACCTGTAGACTATAATTTCAATCATTCTTGATCATTGGCCATGCTGGCTGGAGTTGATGGGAAATGCAGTCCACCAATATCTGGAGTGCCATAGGTTACCCATCCATTGGATGACATATACCTGGAGATAAATAGGGGAATGTTGTTTTGGATCTCTTGCCTGCCTTCAGGACCATGATAGTATCTGACCTGGATTGTGCTGCTGAGATGCAACTTGGGGATACTTCTTTCCTGGTGGTAAACCTCAGGATGTGGTACTACACCTTTCAGAATGAATTTTAATATTTACGTAAAAGTGCTGAGAAGAATTGAGTATAGTGTTATTATTGGTATGTTGGTGATACTCAGTGAGTTGTCTCTGTTTTCCATCTAATCCTAGGGGAGCAGATGAAATTCTGAATAGCTGTCTTAAATCATTGATTGATTGACATATTTCTATACCAGCAAATCATAAAATATCAAGTAGGTTTACATGGGTAAAACATAAAACATCATTTATATAATAGCTAAAGTAGGCTGGTTTAGATTGTGGCAGTCGTGAAGAGGGAAAGGCCTAGATTTCATCTCTGCTTTTAGCAAAAAGAATGAGATAGTGGAAGATCAATCCACAGACTTCCAAATCATATCTATTTTAGCCCTTGGTCTTCTTAAATGTGTCTCTGACTTCAAAGACAATATTTTCACAAAGAAAACTCTCTCTAGTGAATAGCTCCTGGAGATGCAGACAGCTCCAGTTTTTGTTACATTATAGTGCAAAAATTACCAAAAACTTGGTGATTCAGAATTCTCTGTGATTCAGAATTCACTATGGATCAGATCCACATAAGATGCAACAGTGTGGGTTTGCTGGCTCTACATTCACACTATGCCCCTTTATGGTCCCCCAAAACACTTCCTGAAGGTCAAAGAACTCTCTGGAATGGGGTGGGATGAGGCACAATGGGCTGCAGCAGCATGGGATAATTGCCAGAATTTGGTGTGACTACTTATGCAAGAAAGCTTGGAATCTAAGCCTATATGAGAGCCCAACCTGATGACCTCCAGATGTTTTGGACAAGTTCTAGCTAGGGCTGATGGGAGTTGTAGTCCAAAACATTTGTAGGGCACCAGGTTGGCAGAAGCTGCTTTAGTTCCCTTTATGTAGTTTTTTATTGTATCTATATGTAAGCTAAATTCTACAATTAGAATAAAGATTACAATCTAAATAACTGGTTACATCTGCTTATTTAGTGTTATTGATTCTGCTTCTATGATAGAGACTTGTTTCAAAGTACACAGCTGCAAGTTTGAGAAGAAGAAAACAAAGAAGGTATGGAGAATGGAGGCAGGTGAACTCTTGAACTAGACCAAGAAGTAATGGGACATGAAATTGTGGATGTGAGAGCATCTAAGGTCCCTAAGCTCAGTTGTTCCCTGCCCACAGAGATTTCATAAGGCAGTGCCCACCTTGGTGCTTAGAAAGCCCGAATTTTCTGTGAGAAACCAAATCCATGCTTGTACCACATTCCTTACTTAACCAATGCAATGGCAGAAGCTTAAATATTAACTTTAAATAATGTACATATGTACATTTGAAAATAATAATAATATGAATTAGAACATTCTATTACATTTCATATTGCTGGCTTACTTTTTTCCTAGAGCTGAAAAGTGGTATATGAGCACATGCCAACATGAAAGAGAGATCTATCTTTTTATTGTTTTCTGCTTGGAATGCTGGCTAGTCAGAAATATATTTCCTAAAACAGTGGAAACCCTTAAATCCTTTGTAGTCTTCATATTTGAATACTCACTGAGCTCTAGCTTTTGGCTTGTTGATTGTATAAAATGTTATAAGACCAGACCATTTCAAAACTTGGGAGTTGGTAAAAGAGTCAGAATGATAATAAAAATTAAATAAACGTACCCTGTAGAGCAACATTACTGAAGCTGCTGCTTAAAATAAGAAAGACTCTGTTAAAAATAGATACCTGTTTCACTCATGGATTAACTTGAGTCATAATCCACTAAAGCTCTATGCCTAGGTACATTTTCAAACCATGCCCCAAATAGTTCACAACAAATGCAGTTACCGTACATACATTGCTGTACCATTTTATTTTCATCTGGTCATGCTCAGCATTAAGTTCTAATGCAAACAACCCAAGAACACATCCTACAAAAGGCATTGGCTATCCTTTATCATAGATCCAACATTTATTGACATTGAAGCTATGAATCACTGGGTTGTATTAAATGTATTACCCAGGAAAGTGCTCCGCGCAAGGATTTCTCCTTGTGCAAGTGAACATTCTCCCCCTCTCCTCTCCTTCCAAAGCCCCTAAATCTATTTTGGTGTTCAGATTGGCAGAGGAACTCTTCTGGATTGTTCCATCACCCTCAAAAGCTTGGGGTGCTGGTGGCCTAGAAGAGGGCATACTCTTTGGAAGCCCCTAAATTGTGGAACTCACTCTCCACAGTGGTGTGATTAGTATCTTCACAGCTGTCAATGAATGCTGAAAACACTCCTGCTTACCCTGGCTTTTGACACCTGAGATGTATATATACCTAAAGGTAAAAGGTAAAGGTACCCCTGCCCGTACGGGCCAGTCTTGACAGACTCTAGGGTTGTGCGCTCATCTCACTCTAGAGGCCGGGAGCCAGCGCTGTCCGCAGACACTTCCGGGTCACGTGGCCAGCGTGACATCGCTGCTCTGGCGAGCCAGAGCCGCACACGGAAACGCCGTTTACCTTCCCGCTAGTAAGCGGTCCCTATTTATCTCCTTGCACCCAGGGGTGCTTTCGAACTGCTAGGTTGGCAGGTGCTGGGACCGAACGACGGGAGCGCACCCCGCCACGGGGATTCGAACCGCCGACCATGTGATCGGCAAGTCCTAGGCGCTGAGGTTTTACCCACAGCGCCACCCGCGTCCCGTATATATACCTAGGACCCACCTTATTTTCTTATTGAAAGTTATTTTAAACTGTTTTTAAGATTGTGTTTCAATTGTTGCAACTTGCCCTGGAACCTTAGGGTGAAGGGTAGGTAAAAAATTAAAATCATCATCACTACCACAATAATATTATGCTTGGATATATTTGACCCATTTGTTAGTATGAAGTCATTCAGCTGCTTCACATGCAAATAAGCCTGAGATGAGGAAGGACATTGGTATAATGTCTATGGATGTCACAAAGGCACTGACATCCATCTAAAGCAAGGAAAAGTGCAATTCCACTATGCAGTTCTGAAGGGCCATTTGGGAACTGTCTCCTGGATTAAAAGTTTCGTTTTCATTAAGCAATTGCTTGTGTTTCCTTCCATTCCTATAGTACAGTGTTTGAATTACCAGTTTGGGGGAGAACACCCTTCTGCTGGCTTCCTTATCTACTGCTTGTAGACAGCTAAGGGGAGCATGACTTGTTTAGAATTGGGGGGAATGCAGTAAATGGCAATAATGGATTTCACAAAATTTCATAATTTGAGCACTGTGGCGTACCTCACTTGCCCATGCTGGGAAAACGCTTCAGAATAAGAAGGTGGATAGATAAAAAGCAGTGTGCATGTATATGTGTCAAATCTCACAGGCCCAATAAACAAATCAGGGTAATTATACAACATGTGCTATTTAATTCAAGGGACCACTCTGCTGCAGACAAATGTGCCCTCAAAGTCACATACTGAAGACTAGGTTCGTTGCTCTTTCTGCTTTCTGGGGGATGAGTTTTTACTAATTAAACCGGTGAACTCCACACCATCCTCTTATACTTTCAGTGATATATGGATAAGACTTAATGTTGTCCTATAACTTTCTATTTGCATTAAGAATAGCTGTAATTTTGGACTTAGCTTCACTTCCACATTTTCTTGTGAATTAAACATACAAACATTATTATATTGCAATGGAAGCAGCTCTGTGGCTAAGACAAGTGGCTTTATAAAACTTGATCATTATATTCATAATAAAACCAAGACAATTTTTTATCCCAGTAGAAAATTTAGCATAGAAATTTTACCTTAATTTAACCAAATTTCAGAAATTTCTGACAAATCTTAAATTTCAGGAAGGCAATCCAACAAGGCTATGAAATTCTGGGTAGGAACAAAGACCCAGAATGGGTTTCTCAAAAACAAGTCATGCCAGATGAATCTCATTTCTTTCTTTCTTTTGGATAGAGTTACAAGGTTGGTGGATCAGGGGAATGCAGTGGACATAGTGCATCTTGATCTCTGTAAGAGTTTTGACCAAGTCCCGTGATATTCTTGCAGAGAAGTTGGTAAAAACTGGGCTGGACGTGGTACCTATTAGGTGGATTTGTAGCTGGTTGACTGAACAAACCTAAAGAATGCTCACTAATGGTTCCCCATCACCCAGGAAAAAAGTGACAAGTGGGGTACCACATGGTTCTGTCCCAGGTCTGTTGTTGTTCAATGTCTTTATAAGTGACTTGGATGAAGGAATGCCACAGAAGATAGAGTTGGGATTCAAGATTACCGTAACAGATTGGAGAACTGGGCTCAAACAAAATAAATTTCAATAGGGACAAATGTAAGGTTCTGCACTTAGGCAGGAATATAAGATGTCTTGCCAGTAGTACATGCAAAAAGCATATAGGGGTCTTAATAGACCACAAGCTGAACATGAGTCCACAGTGTGATACAGCAACAAAAAAAAGCTAGTGCTATTCTAGGCTGCATCAACAGAAGTATAGTGTCCAGCTCAAGGTAAGTAATAGTACTGCCTTATTCTGGGCACCACAATTTAAGAAGGATGCCGTATTGACAATCTGGAACATGTGCAGATGAGGGTGACCAAGATAATGAAGGGTCTGGTAACCAAGTCTTATGAGGAATGGTTGAGAGAGTTGGGTACATTTGGCCTGAATAAAAGGAGACTGAGAGGAGATATGATAACCACCTTCAAAAATCCAAAGGGCTGTCACATTGAAGATGAATCAAGCTTGTTTTCTCCTCTTGTTTTCTCCTCTTCTGGAGGGCAGGACCCAAACCAACGGATTCAAGTTAAAACAAAGGAGAATCTGACTAAACATTGGAAAGAGCTTTCTGGTGATAAGAGCAGTTTTATTGGATAGGATAGTTATTCCTATACAAAACAAGCAAACACCTGGGTTATGACAGCATAAAGAATTCTGATTTACTTAAAACTGCATGCTAGCGTTGGCCCACACATCCATGTGCATTTTCATAAAGCAATGTAAGCACTGAAAAAATGCATTTCAGAAATTATCCAGAACTGGATAAATAAAGTTGTCTTTGAACAGGTAGTAAGCCAAACTTTGTCCAACACAAACCATCAAAATGAGGCCTGAACCTGTAAATAATACAAGAATATGTTAGATTAGTATTAGGAGCAGCTAGCAAGAATTTTAAAATACCTGTTTTGCAATGGAAAACAGTGATGTTTTGAGAGGCATATATTTGGTTGGGCTGTGTTTCAGGGGTTTTTTGTTTACAGAGCAGACAAGTAAGGAGGGGGATATGATAGAGGGGTACGGAATTATGCAGTGTGGATAAAGTGACCAGGGAAAATGTTTTCTCCCTCTTTCTCAATACTAGAACTTAGGGCAATCCAAAGAAGCTGAATGTTGGAAGGAAGTACTTTTTCACATAGTGATGACCACCGGCTTAGATGGCTTTCAAAGAAGATTGGACAAATTCATGAAGAATAAGGCTGTCCGTGGCTACCAGTCACATTAACAATGTTCTGCCTCCATTGCTAGAGGCAGTATGTCTCTGAATACTGGCTGCTGGCTCTCACAGGTGGGGAGAATGCTCAAGTTCTGATTCAGGGGTTCCCATAAGCATCTGGTTAGTCACTGTGAGAACAGAGTGCTGAGCTAGATGGGCTTTTGGCCTGATCTGACAGGGTCTTTTTTATTTCCTATGCTTTATAAAGGTAAAAGGTAAAGGGACCCCTGACCATTAGGTCCAGTCGTGGCCGACTCTGGGGTTGCGGCACTCATCTCGCTTTACTGGCCGAGTGAGCCTGCGTACAGCTTCTGGGTCATGTGGCCAGCATTACTAAGCCGCTTCTGGCAAACCAGAGCAGCACACGGAAACGCCGTTTACCTTCCCGCCGGAGCGGTACCTATTTCTCTACTTGCACTTAGACATGCTTTCGAACTGCTAGGTTGGCAGGAGCTGGGACTGAGCAATGGGAGCTCACCCCATCTCGGGGATTCGAACTGCCAACCTTCTGATCAGCAAGTCCTTGGTTCTGTTGTTTAACCCACAGTTATAGCTGTGCTATTTTGGATAATTAAATCATAACCATTTAACTCATACCTAAAGCTGCCCACCAGTGCAATGTCAGCGGGAATTCAGACATAACTGCAAAACGAAAAGTTACATTTTAGGATTAATGTCAACATGACAAAAATTACAATATTATATCAAACAACACCGTAAAACCTCAGTCACTCACACCGCAGTGCTAGAAACTGAGATATGAAAGCCAGGAGCTAAATGGCACCTTAAGCCTAGGTTATGCGCACTACAACGGAATGTCTAGGTGCGCTTTTTAATAACAAGAATACAAAGCTGAAAATGAATGAACTGCAGCTAAAATATTATGTTCATTTTTCACATGGGGAAGCTGAAAAGGGTCCTCCTTTCCTTCCACTCTGAAGTTTTAATCTGAAATCTTAGGCGCAATACTGCACCCAGAGCTCAGAAACTGCTCGTGCTAGTGAAATTCCATCGCAAAATGCACCTAGAACAATGGGAGTTTTGAACACTGCCACACCCCACTAGACATATGTAACAGCAGCTGTGCAGCAGGTAAAGGCACAAAGGAACAATCAGGAGGTTAAAATGGGCTCCTGGTAGTTCATTTACAAGTGTGGCTCACTGCCCAGCAGTGCAAAATCAGCAGGAATTGGCTTGTTCACACTAGGAAGTTCCCATCAGGAATTTCCAAATGTAGCAGAGGGGTCACATCATCAGAGTTGATCAGCTTATCAATGCTGTCAGTGTGAGCCCGTCGGAAGTCAATTTGCAGCGCTGTCTTGGATTCAAACTACATCTGAAAACAGAATTTTGCCTCTGCAGATAGCGCCAGGCTCAGGGTTGTTTGCAGTGAGCATCCCCAGAACAATCCTGCGAAGAAGACTAAGCAGGGAGAACCTAATGGCTGGCCGAGTGGAGCTTTGGCAAGAGCTCAAGAGCTCAAGACACAGAAGCAAGGGCAAGCTAATAATCCAAGTAGTGCTAGTAAAGCCAAAAGCATTGCTTTAAATAAACTGGGTTAGTTGTTTTTTTAAATCAACAATACTTCTTTTTCTGTGGATTTATTAACTAAACAGCATACGTACCAGCCGCAGTTATGGTGATGTGAATGACTGTAACAGTCACTGCATAATCCCAAACCCATTCTTCTACAACCAAGACAAAGAGCAGTCCAGAGACGAGATAGGTTATTTCCAGTGACACTAGAAGAACTAAACAAACAGAAAATGAGTTACAGTAGTGGATGGGAAGTTGTATCCTATGGCTGCTGCTAGTCCCAAGACTGCTAAATTATCCACTGCTTGGCAGTTGTATTTATCCTCAGCTCCAGGCTCAGTTTGCTAAGCATTCTTTGCAATTAAGGAGGCATACAGAGTTGCTATGGGAGACACGTATCTCTTTCATTCAGGGCCAGCTCTATCATTAGGGAGAAGTAAGCAGACGTTCCAGGCAGTAGACAGCAGAAAGCAGGGAAATGGAGCTGCATTTACCCTGTGGCCCCCTAAGCCAGGCTGCTGTCCTTGGTGGAAGATGCTGTTCCAGAGCCAGCATTGAAGTAACATCTGGCTACCTGTCTTGACATGGTCTAGGGGGAGACGCCATCTTGTCCTTTGCCTCAGGTAGATAAAAAGTCTTGCATTAGCCCTGCTTTAATTTATGTGTATGCTTTGACTGGGGAGTCTGAATTCTAGCCACATGCTAGCACAATGAAATAATTCCCATGTGCTGCCTGTATCGATCTGGAAGTGGAAATCCATAGCAACATTTTTAAAGGGATTTTGGATTTCCTCTGGTGATCCTCTTAACACCTTACACACCATGCCACATGTCTGCAAGACTGCCTTTTCAGCCCCACCATCTAAGATAATAGCAAAGTAAATACTACCAGGAGGTCACCTTTACTTTCAATCCAAAAGTTTGGAAGATGATGCTTTTCAAGGAAGGAGGTATGGTACAAAACAAAACAATCCTGAGGCAGCAGGACATCTTGAATTGCCTATGGATGCTGTACCCATCAAAGGGGAGCAGAAAGATACACTACACAACACATGACTTCTCAATAACTTAGGATGGCTGACAGTTTGCATATGAACAAATTTTTGCAGACAGATTTCATTGTGAAATTTTAAACACCATTAATATGTTTTTAAAGTATTTATTGTTCTGAATGTGGCAGGTTTTCATAATTGCCGCTGTAATTTCCCCCGCAAAAGTATTTACTGTAGTCTCCTGCCTGCCATGAACAAGATCCCATTATGCACTAAATTAAAGTAGTTTATGGGTACTTATTGTTGCTTAGACCAGCAGTAACCTCATGAAGGAAATGAACTTAAAAATTTACACAGTTAAATGTTGCCTTGAGCAGTTGGTTCTCTATCAAGACCGAAAGACAATCCACCTTATCCTTCAAGGAGCTGATCCTTCATCAGCCAAAATTAATAGTAAACATCCACTGACTTTAACAAAGACAAAGAGGTTTTTGAGTGATTAAATAAGATCCATAGTCTTTTTATATCCATTCTCTTACTCTCTGCCATAACTGCAATAAGATCTTTGAAAAGGTAAGCAATAATACTTTCCTGATATTAATTCAGAAGTATCCCTCTAATTTATTACTCAGACCTTCAGCAGCTGCTGTGGTCATTACTGTAATTAATCTACTGCTCTCCCGGAGATAACCCTGGACTTAACTGGCTTTCTTTATCCACACCAGCATTCAGGAAACCCTAGAGACCAAGAGATGGGAAGGAATTGAGGGCTCAGTGCTTAGTTTCACAATCCAGTCATTTCACCTCTCTTTCCTCCTCCTCGTTTAGTCTCTAGGATTTGGGGGAAGAAGGAGAAGCAAGGAAACCTGCCATCCCACCATCCCATCCAACAAATTCTACTGAAGCTGGCTCACATGATTTGCATGAAGGATGAGACAATGCATGGTCAGAAGTAAGAGCTCTTCTACAATGGAACAGACTACCTCAAAAAGTGGTGGGCTGTCTGTCATCGGAGGTTTATAAGCAGAGGTTGAATGGCTGTATGTCAGGGATTCTTTAGCTGTGATTCCTACATTGCAGGGAGTTGGGACCCTTGGGGTCTCTTCCAATGCTACAATTCTAGGATTAAGACAGCTAAGGCCACCAACTTGCTGAAGCTAAAGCACGTCAGGGTCTGGTCAGCATGTGGATAGGGAGCTTCTAGGGTTCCATGAGGAAAGAAAGGAGGGATATAAATGTAAGACAATAAGTAGGAAGTGTCAAAGTCTCAAAAGTGGACTTGTGGTTCTGCTTCTGTGAATGGGAAAAGCCCTAGCTTCCAAGCCAGTAACATTTGCAGGCAATACCAGATGGCCCCACTCGAACTCCCTCCAGCTGAGTCGCTGCTATATGCTAAGATGGAGACAGGGAGGCTGGCGTGGCACAAATCCAATCCAGTGCTCCAGTGGAAACAATCCAGTTCATTCACCTCACTGTCCTCTCGCCCTTCCTCTTCTCTCTGCCGTGGCAAGCTGTAACAACTCAACTGGATAGAGGTCAGATAAGCAGTGCAGCCCCACCACGCCATTCGCTACTTTCTGCAGCGTACCAGCTCCCCTTTGTGTAATATATGTTGAATCAAGGACAGACTAGGCAGTATGAGGAATTCATGACTGCTGCTAGTAAACAAAGCCCTGACTGCCATCATGCACAAAGTCCCTCACTCCTTAGCTCAATTTCATTGGCTACCATGTGGTGATGGTGGGGACCAGGACTCTGAGTTCAATGACGGCACGTGTTTACACCAGGTGTTACAAGGGACACACAATGTCTTATCTCGACCTTGAGGTAAAAATAAACCCATTTAAATCGAGCCATTTCCTCAAAAACCTTAAACTTTTTTTTACTTTTTTTAAAAAAAATTAGGATATACTCATAAAAATCTTGAATGGCTTAAAATCATAAAAGTTTTTTTTTAAAAGCACTTTCTATTATATGCTTCTGCTCTGAGACATAGATAAAATTATATTATCTGGTTTTGGCTACACAACTATGAAAGGTAAAAAAAAAAAACCTGCTCTTAAAAAACAAGTTTATATCAAAGTGGAATTTGTCTATAATAATCACAATTTTCCTGAGTTGCACGTGGTCAACCCTATTTGCATTATGACTAGATTGGCAATCCCAAAATGATTAGCTGCTGTATTCAGGAATCCACAACAACTTGGTGAAGTTGCTTTAAAACTTGGCACAAATGCTAGAAAGTGGTGCTGTTGGTTATTGGGAAAGTGTGGCATGGGCGCAGTATTGTAAAAGACCTGTGGGCTGGAGAGAGGATCTATAGACTAGAATGCTATAATAATCTAGAGAATAAAAGTGGGTAAGCAGAGTTCAAGAGTGATGGAATGGTCATATTAGTGCAGTATGTGAGCAACTAGCACACAGAGGTAAATGAAGAGAATGAAGCTGCACATTTGTGAGTTCTGTATTAACACAGATGCGGGTAGAAGCTGACAAAAGACCTTAGGGCCACTGTTGATGCTGCACTGGTTAATTTTGCCATGAAGCACTAATTGGGGAGCTGACACGCCAATTAAGAGGGCTACGACTACTTTAACATTTATCTCTGTTCTGTGATCTGCCAAGACAGATGACTTGAGTACTAAAGCACAACATATGTAGATGAAAGCTCAGTTACTCCCCCATTAACTGCTGGCTTCATCATCTTCATAATGGGGTCCTGCTCCAATCCCTTGGCATCTTTTCTGTCTAGACACATTTCCCTCAGTGGAACACCCATTTGAAATGAGGCCCTGAGGGACCAAGTAGGGCGCAGTGTTTGCCCCAGTGACTCCATCTGAGGATAACCACCTCAGAGAGAGGAGAAAGAGGGAGGGTGCACTGAATTCCAAAGCCTCCTAGTACAGGAAAAAAACAATCTAACTGGTTCCAAGATGCCTCAGAATATTTAAAAGGTACAGGGCTATGACTTTTGGTTGGGAGGTAGAAAACCTAATTTAGGATGGACCACAAAAACCACTTCCCCCACATTTTGAGGTGAGACCCATAAGAAGAGTGGTCTTGGGACTGCTCAATAGCTGTCGATCTGTCAGGTCTAAAAGAGCCAGAAATCTACAGCTCTCTGTGTTGCAGCCCTGTTTGGTGAGTTACAAGGGCTTTAGCAGGGTGGTGAAGTCTTTCTACCTGGCTCTTGTGACACTCTCCAGGCCAGCTACACACTCTCTTTCTAGGCTAAACCTCTCACGACTTGTGCTTCATATCCTCTTTGGGGTTTTTTGCCTGGCTGGAATGTGTCCTTGTTACAATTATTCTTGCCTGCCTGGATAGAGAGGGGTGTGAGAGTGTGTTTAGAAACTAGCCCACTGTACAAACTTAAAATGTGCAGTTTTTTTCTGGCCTAACCAGAGGACTGCCCAAAAGGCAATGTGACCTTTAGACTGAGAAAGGTTGACACACGTAGCCCAGACCCTCCAAGTGTCCTTATTTTCCAGGGATGTCCCTAATTTAGAGAAGCCATTCCGGTTTCTGATTTGATCCCACTTTTCCTTAGCCTGTCCCTATTTTCATTGGAGAAATGTTGGAGAGTAGGCAGTTATCCGACCTATGAGCTATCTGAAGGCAATCCTGTATAGGGAAGTTTTTAAAAAATGCTTAATGTTTTCTTTTGTGTTTATATATGTTGGAAGCTGGCTAGAGTGGCTGGGGAAACCCAATAAGATGTGTGGGATATAAATATTAAAATTATCATTATGGAATGGGGCATCCCTATTTTCATCAGAGAAGTGTTGGGGGGGTATGGTAGCCTACAGATGTTGCAGTCTTCCCTAGACAATACAAGCTGTGGTGCTCTTACGCTCCAGAGTAACTCTGCCAGCCAGGAGGGCCATTGGCACCTCCTGACATGCAGGGATTGTAAAGGCTTCAGAATCAGATTGACAAAGTGTTGATTCTATTATCCAGCTACCAGCTTGTGATCTCCTGGGCTTGGACTCCTGGTTTTCAACTTTCCTCCAGTGCTATTTTCAGTTCCTTTTACCCAAGCCTATAAAAAAATGGTCTCAACAAGTGTTTGGAGGCAGGAGGGCCTTAGAAAAAGATGCTTGCCCAAAGCCATCATGCAAATTCATATTTAAATCTCTGTTACTGCTTGCCGGGGGCAGGGAGGACCCAGTGTATGCTAGAACATCATATCAATAAGACTGAGATGAGATTTGTATGCAATAAGTCACTTATTACAATTACACATGGCTTTGCTGCCAGCCCCCACCCCAAGTAACTAAATCACCTCCCTGAATGTTATTTTAATCTAAAAGCAAATCAGTAGCATATCTCCTCACATTTTCTGTTTCCATAAGTGTTTGAGATGTTTCTCAAAACAATTTACATTTTAAAAGGTTTCATTCATAGCGATTTAGCTTTCGTTTAAGGGGGAAAGACCATAAAATAACTAAAATGTATGTATTTAATGTAAATCACTCTCTTTTAGCCCAGAAGGGGAGCCATAATAGCTTTATAAAGAATCACAGCCAAAACGATTCACAGCTTATACAGCAACAGGAATCCACAACCAATCCTGGCTATTTGATTAGTATATCTGAACGATACATGTGCTTTCATATACCTGCTTTTTACATTCACACTTAACATTTCATGCTTAACAAGTTCAGGTGTGAGGAACTTGTGGCCTTCCATATGTTGCTGCACTTCAACTCCCATCATGCCTGGCATTCGGCCATACTGGTTGGGGCTGACAGGACTTGGAGCCCAGAAACATCTGGAGGACTGCTGGTTCCCCATCCCTGGTGTGCATGAATGAAATCTTGGGTGTATGCCTTCAGAAATGGGAACCTCCAGACCCACAATGTTCAGAACCCTATTTCCTTTATTCATCCTTTTGTGGGCCTGAACCCCTCGCTTTGGGATATGTTCTTTTGTTTTGCATGACAGGAATATTTCCATATAAACTAGGAATGCTGAGTAATTGTGAGATGTGTCAACAATATTATCAGGGCTAGCTCTGGGTGGGCATCTCAATTAGGGTCTCAAATGTGAATGCCCCCAACTGAAAAGTCATACATACAGACCTCTGGAATCAGAGTGCTGGAGAAGGCATCATAGGTCATCAAGAAATCTGCAGCTAAGGAATCCCCAACATGTGGCTTTGCAGCCTCTCTTGAAGACCTCTCCATTCTCCACCTCAGTAACTGGTTCCACTGTCAAACTGCTATGTACTTTAGTACTTCACTAAACTTTTTTTTAACGATTTCAACTGTTTTTAGTTGTTGTTTTAATGTTTTATTGTTGCTGCGTCTGCCACCCTGGGCTCCTTCAGGAGGGTGGGATATAAACTGAATAAATAAATAAATACCATTGACTTGAAATTAGTAATGCCATACAATATAAAATTATGAAACCATGAAGCAGATATGGGGAAACCTCGGGTTCAGGAGTCAAATGCAGGCCTGATGGTCTTACTGCGTGGCCCTCACAATTTCCCCTACACAATCCCAAGCCAAACCTCTCACGGGCCCTGCTTTACACCTTCCTTGAGTGTTTTTGCCAGGCTGAAATGTGCCCTTGAGCACTCATAATGTCTCTTCCTTGCGTGTGTGGAGGATAGAGGGCTGTGTGTACAAACTACTCTATTGTACAGAGGTAAAATTCACATTTGTTTCTTTCCTCACTTTTGCCTACGGCCCACAGAAGGATTCCCTGAAGGGAATTTGGCCCTCAGTCAGGCTGAAAAGGTTTCCCTAACCCTGCTAACCCTGCTATAAGATGATACGATCTGTATAATACTTAAACTTCATTTAAAAAAATCAAGTGTTTGAAGTATTTCAGTAGAGAAACCATCTAAGAATAAGACCATCTTAAGAATAAGGACTTCAAGGAAGAACATTTACCTAAATAATATGAGTGAATCCATGATGGGCTGGTCTTGAAGTCAAATGGTGCCAGTCCATCCAACATCTGCAGCCTGTGAAGAGTTGGACAATTTTCAAGTTTATCCCAGTACAAGAAGCTCATGATACTAAATCAGGCAAATTATTGTGCACGTGTGCTGATTTCCTAAATGCTTTTAATGTCTTGCTAAAGCAATTTTAGCTAATTGTTCTACTTTTCACAGAAGATGTTTTAAAAGCCATTATGTATTTTACAGTGCATTCAAGAATCCACACTGTATGCTTATATGGACACATTTAGCTACCATACTATGTTTTATTATGCTAAAGAATTCCACCCAAAGTATCTGAGGGCATGTTTGAGCAAAATGTTGTCAGCATTGCACTACATCTGTAGTCACATAGTCATTCATTCATTCATGATTATTGCCAAAGTATTCCTACCTGAATGCTGTGAAACAAAAGCATAGGACCACATAATACACAGAGTAGAATATGATCACACATAGTAGGAGATTGAGCAAAACAATCTGTAAAGGAAAAATGACATGAAGCTCACTTTCAAGTTACCCAGAAAACAATAACTCAGCAGTAAGACATCTTACCCTAAACTATTATTATTATTATTATTATTATTATTATTATTATTATTACTTTAGTACCTTTATGTCCCTCTTTTTTTCCTATAATGCAACTCAAGGCCATCTGCATAGGATTTCCAAGCAACCTCATATCCAAGCCCTGACCAGACCTAAACCTGCTTAGCTCTCAGATCATTCCCTAGATTCTATGATCTTGCAAGCAACACTATGAGGTAAATCCCCATTAGTGCCATTTTCCGTAAGAGTATTGAGGCTGTGAGAAACTGCAATTACAGACGTCAGTTTACTAAATGCCAGTTTACTACAATAAACTCTTGGTAAGCTTGTCCATTTTGAACATTTGAATATTACCTTCTCCTGCTTGCCTAGATTTCTGATGAAGCAAAAACATGTGCTGGATTTTCATCCCTGTTTGCTAGGGCAACAAAAGCTGATGGGAAACCCCATGCACAGCTTATTAAGCTACCACTTTGTAGGACCCAATGACTCATTCTTGTGTTCATGGCTATATAGGGTCTTGAGCGAAGGCCCAAATCCCACAACAACAATTTGTTCTCCATCCACCTCATCTCATGTTTGCAAACTTCATGCAGCAGACCAAATAAAACTCTAGTTGTCACCATACTAGAAACGTTACACTTACTTGGAGAGAATCCTGTAAATGATAATAAAACATATGTGAAAGATTTAAAGAATGAACTCTCTATAACTGGATGCCAAAAGGCTATTTTAGCTTAAGGTTACCAGTTGTCCCTGTTTCCTGGGGACAGTCCCCGGATTTACAAATCAGTCCCCTGACAAAATGCATCTATTTAGTAGGAAGTTGAAAAGTGTCCCCGGATTCATTGAAAAAAAAATCTGGTAACCTTATTTTACCTGGTGGCCAAATGCTCTGGTCCTGATCCAAGACATCACTTAATCACAGGGTGATTAGTAAGCCTATACAGTGGTACCTCGGGTTACATGTGCTTCAGGTTACATACGCTTCAGGTTACAGACTCCGCTAACCCAGAAATAGTGCTTCAGGTTAAGAACTTTGCTTCAGGATAAGAACAGAAATCATGCTCCGGCGGCGCGGTGGCAGCAGGACACCCCCATTAGCTAAAGTGGTGTTTCAGGTTAAGAACAGTTTCAGGTTAAGAACGGACCTCTGGAACGAATTAAGTACTTAACCCGAGGTACCACTGTATGTCAGGCATAGGCAAACTCGACCCTCCAGATGTTTTATGACTACAGTTCCTATCATCCCTGACCACTGGTCCTGTTAGCTAGGGATCATGGGAGTTGTAGGCCAAAAACATCTGGAGCGCCAAGTTTGCCTATGCCTGCTATATGTCTTGGTATTCTACCTACCTCCCATCCCTGCTGCCATATCTGGTGCATTTCAAAAACTTTGTTCTGTTTAGAAATAATAATAAAATAATCCAGCATGCTTCAGTGATTTGTTAGTCACAATTTGGTTTGAAGCCAGTGCTTTTCTTCTGGGGGTGGGGACACATACCCCTAAACATTTTGCAAATCTAAGTTGGGCCTCATTGAGGGGCAGTATTTCAATATAAGTAGGAAAATGAGAATACCCCAAACATTTTTTTTCTTAGAAAAGCACTGTTTGAAGCTATTCTATTGAAACATTTAGAACTACGCCAGATCATGAGGACTGGTGGCATTTATACAGCTTCTTTACACAGCAGCAATTAATTACGTTTCAGGAGCTCCAGACAATGTTAGAAAACACTTTCAAACTTTATATTTTTTAAACAAAATCCTCTTTATGTCCCAGCAGTTGTTATCAATGCTTTAAAGTATTTCCCACCTGCATCACTAATTTTTTTTCAAGAGTCAAAGAACGACAAAAGTATACAAGACAGCTTATTGGAGTAAAGGCAATGGTTCTTCCAAATACCTGCCATATGTCGCATATAGCAAATTCTACGCAATGACCTTGAGTCCAATGCCAACTTGATTTTTGTTACCTTAGTCTCAGCAATTTTTATCTTGAGAGCCATGTACACATGATGAGCAAAAGAGCAGTGATGCAGTTACATTTCTCATACCAATATCAGCTGGAAGAAGCCTCAATTTTTCACTCACAAAGCACTACTGGGTGTGCAGTGTGAGACGGAGCAGAATAGCATTATTGGATTAAAGTGAACTGGGGCAAAAAGCCATCTGTGAGCCAACTCTAAGCTGCTGAAGTCCAACCAGACAATCCTTAGCAGCTCATTAAAAGTCCAAACTGCTTTTCGACATGCTCAGCTAAAAAAACCCCACCACATCTTGCACACTTTGCTATTATGAAACTGCATGTAGCTAGTATTTTCATATTTTTTTTCATTTTCTCTCTATTGTGAGTGTTTGATATCAGTTCACAGAGGAGGCACGACTATCCTGTTTTTGATTTCTTTTGCAAATCATAACATACATTTACTATCACCATTTACAATGAACATGTATGTGTATATATGTGTGTGTGTGTACACATACACACACGAAGATGCCTTGTGTTAAGGCCATTGATTGATCTCACCTGGTACTGTCTTATGCTGACTGGCAATGTAATTCTGAAAACCTCCTGATCTGATACAGGAGCTTATATTCTTTTCTTTCTTTTTTTAAATGATATTTATTAAAGTTTAACAATTACAAAAAAAGAAGAGAAAAAAAACAAACAATATAGAAATTACAATACTTCAAAAGTAAAAAAGTAAAAAAAAGAAAAATACAATGAAAAACCAATACAACAGATCAGTAAAAAAAGAAAAAGCAAAAACATTTAAAAACAAAAACATTTTAAAAAGAAAAGAAAAAAACAGATCCGATATTTTCATATCTTTATCTTTCATTTACTTATTTCCTCGACTTCCTCACACCTCCCTTTTTTGTATTCTAATTCAATTAGCTGTTTCAGCAAATCCTTTCCCTCTTTCTCAGATTTTGTTCTATAATTTATCTTGACACAGTTTACCCTTAAATTTTTCACTTAAAAAACCCTAAAAATTTAGGACTTATTTAAACTTATCTCCTTATAACATTTCTACTAAAGCTAAATAGTTTCATTCCAACATTTTCCTAAGACTCATTAACTTTACAATGTTTCTTTAAATAAATTTTTAAAACTTTCTTCCTATCTTCATCCACCGTCTCTTCTTCCTGGTCTCGGGTTCTGTTAGTCCTTTCTGTCCATTCCCTCTAGTCCATCAACCTGGTGATCTTATATCCGAGGCTCTTAACTCTTCTCCATGTCCCTTCTGCAGATCTTCTTCAAATTTGTACTTGCCCTTTACCAGGAGCTTATTTTCAAATGGGAAATAGCAGGGACTGAACATGGGACCATCTGCATATCAAGTATCATATTCTCTGAGCTATGGCCCCTCCCTGAGGCCATAACTGGAAGTAAAAATCAGCTGTAATTGAATTCTTTTTTTATATAAAAGCAAATACTTTTTTATCATATTTAGATCAGAAGTACTTAAATGTGTAAATATTGTTTTGCCAAGATATTTTGACCCACTGTTGTTTTCTTTGGAAAGAATGGTACGTCCCGTCCCCCCTGTCAACTGATGAAATATCACTTATCTGTGAAAGCTTATGCTACAATAAATTTGTTTAAAGGTGTTACAAGACACTGCTGATTTAGCCTAACAAAACTAACCTTCTAAATTTGGATTTGGTGTTATTTATTTATTTACAAAAGAGGCCATAAATAACCACATAAACCAGCCAGCATGACTAAACCGCTTCTGGCGCAACGGAACACCGTGACAGAAACCAGAGCGCACGGAAACGCTGTTTACCTTCCTACCGCAGCGGTACCTATTTATCTACTTGCACTTTGACGTGCTTTCAAACTGCTAGGTGGGCAAGAGCTGGGACAGAGTAACGGAAGTTCACCCCATTGCAGGGATTCGAACCGCCGACCTTTTGATTGGCAAGCCCAAGAGGCTCAGTGGTTTAGACTACAGCGTAACCCGCATTCCCAGTAAACATGACCAATGGCTAGGGATGATGGGAGTTGTAGTTCAGCAACATCAGTGGGTCCAAAGGTTTCCAACAACTGCTCTATAGCCATTTGTCCTTTGAATTGTGCCAGTTAATTTATGCACAAAAATTTATGCCATTATAAATTTGCTGGTCTTTAAGGAGCCACTAGACTTGTTAATTAATTAATTGTTTCAACCAGTTCATATACCACTTAACAGCATTGTTTCTAAGCAGTGTACAATGAGGTTACAAAAGAGATACAGTAGAAATAATATCAGAGGAGGAGGAGGAGGAGGAGGAGAAGGAGGAGGAGAAGAAGAAGAAGAAGAAGAAGAAGAAGAAGAAGAAGAAGAAGAAGAAGAACAACAACAACAACAACAACAACAACAACAACAGCAGCAGCAGCAGCAGAAAGGTTTTCTTAACATGTCTGCTGAAGTAAAAACAACAACAACACAAAGCTGTTCACCAAGCACCTGAATTTCCACGGG